ATTATAAAATTACTCATGCATGTATGCTTAATTTTAATATAACAAATTTGAAAAAATGTTTGTAAATACTAAACTGTACTGATTTCAGTGCTTTTAGAACATTTGCATTCCTTAATGAAACTTTGTTTTACTGACACTAAAAAATGGTTTTCATCCATTTATTCACTAGGTGAACTATCAATGGAAGATTTACTGAAGAAGTATGCTGCTGCATATGATGAGGATTTTGAATATCCACAGATGAGTGAGGATGATTTGGAGACAGATGAGACAGAAGAAAGTGAATCAGAAGGTACGTGATATTAAATTACTACTATTAAGGAATTTTTTAAATATCAAGCCATACATTAAAAATGATGAATTTCCATTATCTGAATAAGCCTTATAGATTATTTGTATTACAATGTATTATTGTGCAGACATGATTTAGATGTGCTGTACTTCGTAGTAAATGCTTGTTCAGGTTAAATTTTATTTTGCATCGATCATGGATTTAGCACTCGCTATTTCTCAGCAGAATCCGAAAGTGAAGAAGGAAGTGATGAGGAAGAAGAACTGGTTGATATTGGAATGGAATACCTTATTAATCCGGATAAGGAAAATGATGAGCCAGTTGAGAAAAAGGTAGCTGCATCGTCTCGGGATTAGCATTTTATTATTCAAATGCCATTGTCGCTAAACACATCTTATTCCATCCAGTTTATTTCCTCTTACACCGCCGTGTGAAATTATGAAAGTTTTCATCACGGCAGTCATCAAAGAGGAGAGATTAATGTTCCTTTTTAAAACCCATGGGATAGACTTGATCTTTCTGCATGGATCCTGTCAAAGGAGACAAATTGAATTTATTAAAAGCATGATTGCTCAAAACATTCTGTGGCTCAAATTGCAGACAAATTTGAGAGATAATCATGTTTGTTTTCAAGTTTGTTTTCCCACAGCTGATATATAACTTTATTTATAGGGTGAGCAAGATGGGAAAGGTCCTAATAAAGAAATTACAGATATAGCCGCTGCTGCTCAAAGCATCCAACCTACAGGTTATACATTATCTACTACTCAGGTAAGACAATAATGAAATTGTTTCTGTATTTTCAATCAGTGTAATTTGTCTGCTTGCCTTTGTGCTTGTCTTATTAAAACAGACAGTACCTGTGACTGCTTATTTATAAACATAACAAATGTTTTAAAGAAAATATTGAATTTGACCATCTGTGCAAGCAATTCTAGACAGCTGCAAATTAACAAGTGTTGTATTTGATTTTGGAAAGAATTTCTAATATTAAATGGTCATTTGCTAAATTTTTGAAATTTCTCTATATAGGGATGATGTGGAAATGCCATGTGCCAGTTTAGTTTCTGTAATAAGTTTGTCCTCAATTTACCAGTTGCTTTCCTTTGGTATTTTTTGTGGAGTATTGTAGAGAATAGAATTATGGTTCATTCATTCTCCTCTCCTTTATCATTCTAGGTCAAAACTCCTGTGCCTTTCTTGCTGCGACATAAATTACGTGAATATCAACACATAGGCTTAGACTGGCTAGTAACTATGCATTGCAGTAAACTCAATGGGATCCTCGCAGATGAAATGGGTCTAGGTAAAACTATACAGACGATAGCGTTATTTGCACACCTTGCTGAACAAGGTAAGACTGCCTTTCATTCATGTAGTGTGTATCCCAGTATGTTCAAAATTCTTTGATTTTTTTTCTTCACAAAAACTCACCACGTAAACAATGCCAGTGATGGGATGACCATTTATCTTGTGTACATCTGTGCAAAAAATAACATTGTTTGAAGGCGTTTTGAGAATCATAAATGTCCTGAAAGTGTGAACTTTGCTGGTAATGTTGGTATAAAGAAGATATGATGAAAGTACATCATCAGATCCAGATCTTTTATTACATAGATATCTGAATACATCATCAAATTCTTGTATGTGCTAGGATCCTATGGTTTTCTCTTAGTTTATCTTTGCATAACCATTTTGTTGAATTCCTCTTAAGAGTTTGTTGCAATTCTCACATTGTGAGAAGAATTGAAGTTACTTTGGGTCTCGGCCTTTCCATGGCAGTGGCTCTTGCTTACGCTTCATACATTAAATGGTGATGTGTTTGTATGTTTTGGAAACATTTTTGTATACAGAGGTATATAGATTTCAAACTGGTCACCTACATTCTGATGCCTTCCACCTCATGAGAATTGGCAAAAAAAGAATGGGTTGTTGAATGTAGAGTTTAGAAAAATGTAAAGTTAACCTTCCATGTGGAAAGTGAACAACTAGCCAGTCAAGTAACTGCCTTTCAGTGAAAGCGTGATTTATTAAATGACTGCCATCTTGTATCCTATTGAATACAATGTCTTGTGTCATCACTTCGTGTAGGTAACTGGGGCCCTCATTTGATAGTTGTACCCACCAGTGTAATGCTGAACTGGGAAATGGAATTCAAGAAATGGTGCCCTGGATTTAAAATTTTAACCTACTATGGCAATCAGAAAGAGCGAAAACAAAAACGGCAGGTATGTATGTATGTATGTCGCTGACTTTATTACTGCAAATTAAATATCAATCAAATGATGAAAGGAATTGAAAACTTTAGGTCTGTTATACATAGTGGCCAATGGTAAGAATAGCCCCAAAAAAAACAAATATTGAGGCTAGAGTCACTACTGCGACAAATATATCCATGTTGTCAGTGGTGCTAAAAACCTCGTACATTAATATTCTGATCCTATCCTCTGGGTGCTTGTTTCGTTGCTGCCTGGCCACCCGGACTTGATACATTTTTAGCTAGTTATATGCATGCATTATACATACCTGAATTAAGGTGTTGCATGATACCTTTTAAAATAATTCAAGTACAACATCAGACATTTCACCCATAACACAAGATGGAAGTCATAAAAATAGTCTGTTAGAGATTGTTGTATCATCCTGATGCAAAATAGTGGTTTAAAGCATTTCAGACAAATTACATATTTGTACATCCTGGTAAATATTAGTGATTGGAAGTCTTGTATTATTTCATTGTAGGGTTGGACCAAAACCAATGCATTCCACGTGTGTATCACTTCTTACAAGTTAGTATTGCAAGACCACCAGTCCTTCAGGCGAAAGAAATGGAAGTACCTTGTCCTGGACGAAGCTCAAAACATCAAGAACTTTAAATCACAAAGGTGGCAGACTCTTCTGAATTTCAATAGTCAGAGACGTCTTTTGCTAACAGGAACTCCTTTGCAAAACAATCTGATGGAACTTTGGTCCTTAATGCATTTTCTCATGCCACATGTGTTCCAGTCGCATCGTGAATTTCGAGAATGGTTTTCAAACCCATTGTCGGGAATGATTGAAGGCAGTCAGGAATACAATGAAAACCTCATCAAGAGATTACACAAGGTAAGATTGCTTTTTTCGAAAAAAGATTTGGTACAACTTTAAAGATGACAGCAAGTAATCTTGCCAACAAGTTTTAAAGCCTGAGGAATTATCTGTTCAGGGTCGTCTTAGTTAATCACATTGAGGCTAGAGTCACTACTGCGACTAATATACCCATGTTGTCAGTGGTGCTAAAAACCTCATACATTAATATTCTGGTCCTATCCTCTGGGTGCTTGTTTCATTGCTGCCTGGCCACCCGGACTTGATACAATGAACAGATGCATTCGCTCAGATTGCTTTCATCTTGTTTATTCTTTATATATCAGAGCTGCATGCTCATTCCAGAGCAGTGGAGTATCAAATCAATGTGTGTAGATTGGATTGTATAGTATAGACATTCTGATCTCTCTTCGGAGTTGTCTTGTTTCCGTGTAAATAGACACAGGCAGTGGTTGCATTTTCTGCTTCAAATTGTGACTTGTTCACAGAAGCAGGAGATGTGTTATTGGGTATTATAATCGCGTGAAATGAGTGGAACAGAAATATTTGCACTATAAGAGAAAATGTACGCCGTTGGGTATGCAAGCAGTCGCTTGTAGAATATGTAAAAGGTATATATAGGTATATATATATATATATAGGTATAGGTATGTATATATATATATGTATATAATGTGTGTGTGTGTATATGTAGATATAGACGTGTGCACTCCTTCATGTGACTTAACATAGAAATGTTTGTGGAGCTTAGGTTTAGTAAAGAGGGTAGGTATGGGACAAATATATTAAATTAAATTGAATGATACCTTCCCCCTTTACTAAATCTAAGCTATGCAAACTTGACTTAAATTTGATTGAATATTAATATAAATTATGTAAATAGTGAAGGTCGTCACAAAGTAGGTGCTGTCATCACAAGTCTGTTGTAAAGTAAAATTGAAATTGTCACAACGTTGGTACCACACACGCACACACACACAGACGAAGAATATCATGTTCAGTTAATCGTGTAAAAGGTGTTCAGCTGTAGAATCGAAACCTAATTTAATTTTGTATGCTTACTGAAATTGAGGTTGTTGGACATTACTTTTATGTTATCATTTTCAGTATACATCCATCTATACATTTCTAGCATATTCAATAATATCATTTCTTGATTGTATCAGGTGCTACGTCCTTTTCTCCTTCGTCGAATAAAGAAGGAAGTGGAAACTCAAATGCCATCCAAATATGAACATGTTCTAAAGTGTCGTTTGTCAAAGAGACAAAGATATCTTTATGACGATTTCATGTCTCGTGCAAAGTAAGTTTTATTTCATTGCTACCCAGGCTTCACAAGTTGCACGAAGTGTATTTATTAGCAGGCAACCTGAAAAGTGGGACAGCATTGTTCACATGAATATTGTACAAGACAAATGTAATTTGAGGCTAGAGTCACTACTGCGACTAATATATCCATGTTGTCAGTGGTGCTAAAAACCTCAAAAATTAATATTCTGGTCCTATCCTCTGGGTGCTTGTATCGTGCTACCTGGCCACCAGACTTGATACATTTTTACACAGAACCTTCCAGGTTAGAGTATTCTGTATTTAGTGATATTGCCATTTCAATCAACATATTCATTAATGTTTGAAAATTGTATTTCAGGACGAAAGAAACTCTTGCTTCAGGCCATTTTATGAGTGTCATCAACATCTTAATGCAACTCCGTAAAGTGTGCAACCACCCCGATTTGTTTGAATCAAGACCAATTATTTCACCTTTTTACATGGAAGGCATCTGCTTCTACACTGCCTCGTTGCTTTGACTGCAATGGAATATAATCCATTTAAGGTAAGTCGTCAAGATTTAACCTTGCCTATGCCATGTCAGTTTATTAATTGTGTTGTTAACCACACTAATTTTACTGGTAGTACTGAATAGGCATGTAGAAATGCATAATAATTTGGGGCTAGAGTCACTACTGAGACTAATATATCCATGTTGTCAGTGGTGCTAAAAACCTCATACAGTAA